TGACTAACCAGGTTGGGCAACAAAAAAGGGATTGACAAGAAGAGGTGGATACATTGAGAATCCGCGAGTTCTTGAGAATGAATCCTCCAAGCTTCACTGGTTCAAGCACTACTGAGGATCCGGAAAATTTCGTTGAGGAACTGCAAAAAGTGTTTGAGGTTATGCACGTTGTCGATACTGAGCAAGTGAAACTAGTTGCATATCAACTGAAGAGTGTTTCTAGGACTTGGTTTGACCAGTGGAAGAAGAGTAGGGCTAAAGATACACCAATTTTGAGTTGGGTTGTGTTCAAGAGTGCTTTCTTGGGGCGTTTCTTTCCTCGGGAATTGAGGGAAGCCAAGGTACGGGAATTCCTTACCCTTAATGAAACGACCCCAAAAATACCCGAAAATGTGCTTCGAAAACACCTAAAATTGTAATTTCCATATATCTCAAAATCCGTGCATCATTTCGGAAATTCGACTTCATATTCTTATTCAGGGGGTCAAATTGAGTGGGAAATGAGTCTAACCCGAATTTTAGAACAACCGTATCAAAATTCGAAAATCGCAAAAAATGCGATTTTGAGGGTCAACTTTAAAGGGGCATATCTCTCAGAACACAAGGAACTGGAAGGAGCTCAAACTATCAAAATTAAAGCTCTGTGAGTTAGATTTCCAACGCAATTTGTTTCACCTCATTCCGAGTTAGGATGAAGGAGTTATGACCATTTTCGTAAAACCTGTCCGGCAGAAAATGCAAATTCCAGTAGCCGAAAACACTGTTCACCCGCCTCAATTATTTTTTTCTAAGTGTTGGGACGTTTTTATAAAAAGGGGACATATCCATACTTAGTCATTTAACTTCAAAACATCCAAAAACTCTCTCTAAACCCTCTCCAAAAATTCCACCAAGATCATCAACCAAATTCAAGGATCCCAAGCTTTAATTCCGGATTCAAGATTCAATCTCAAGCAATTCTCCATTCCAATCTTCATCAAGAATTCTCCAAAGTTGAGGTATGTGGGTTGATTGTGGAAACCTTCCTTTCCACAAGTCCAACCATTTATCCTCTATTTTACTTCAAGTTTATGGGTCCTTATGATCATTTATGAACTCTTGAATTATGGAATTATTACTACACATCCTATTATGGTCTATTTTTGTATATTATCATGAAATGGAATGATTATATGATGTTTATGGTTTTCATGCCTCAATGATCAAATTATGAAGGTTGTTATATATGTATATATATATGTATGTTGTTGGTGGGCTGTTTTATATGGATTTTGAAATTGGTTGGACTTAGTACTCTTGAAACACATGATTTTATTTACATGAACAAGTAGCCCACCATATGTTTGATAAAATGTCATTTATAGAATTCTTATGAAATGGAAGGTCCAATGTACGTCCTATGAGTCGGATGATTATATAAGTATTGAAATGATGATGAAATGGATACATGTATATGATTTTTCTCTATATAGTGTGTGAGTCGATCAAGCCTAGCTCGGGGGGTTGTAGGCCCGGGTAACCGTATCAAGGGGTTGGTACCTTGATTGCCTAGTACGGGGGGTAGTAGGCCCGTATAACCGTATCGAGGGGTTTGTACCTTGGTTGCCTAGTACGGGGGGTAGTAGGCCCGTATAACCGTATCGAGGGGTTTGTACCTTGGTTGCCTAGTACGGGGGGTAGTAGGCCCGTATAACCATATTGAGAGGTTTGTACCTCTTTCGCCTCTCCAAGGGGGTGGTAGGCCTTGGAAATACTATATTGATGGTCACTCACTACACATATACTATGTCCTACTAAATATGATTTTTATATAAGCATCATTATACATATCATCTCATTAATATGCTATCTATCGGGTACGATTATGCATTTTGCCTATGATGTCCATCCCTTGTTGCATTGCATTGCATCCCATATACTTAGTACATTCAAACGTACTAACGCATACTCTATGCCTACATGATGTCACCATGTAGGGACCGGAGCACCGCTTGACCCTCGTCCTCCGCGTGGCTAATACGATTTTCTATCAAGGTTATTGGTGAGTCCTCCATTCCGGGGACGTTGCTTATGATCTTTTGCTATGTATAAGACTTTTCCTTTTAGTTATGTTTTGACTATGAGGGTGAGCCCAGTTGTTTGTCTTGGCCCCCGCTAAAGTACCTATGTTTAGAGGTGGTGTTGGACAAGTTGTGTATTATGTTTGAGCTTGACTCATCTATGGTATTTATGTACCATTTCTTCTTTTTTTCTCTTGCTCCCTTAGTCCCGATTTCCCCCCTTTGATTATGCTTATTGCTTATGGTCATTTTAATTGCTTCCGCGACCAAGGATGTGTAATGATACGCTATGAGGCTTGTTTGGGGTTCCTTCGGGTTCCCCATTCGCCGGTCACGTCTAGGCCCTAGGCTTGGGTCGTGACACTTAAGCAGGATTCTCTAAGTGTTCATGAGTATAGTTTGAAGTTCACACAACTTTCCCGATATGTTTTGGAGATGGTTGCGGATATGAGGAGCAGGATGAGTCTATTTGTTGCTGGGTTTTCCCGTCTGTGAAGCAAAGAGGGAAAGGCAGCTATGCTAATAGGGGACATGTATATAGCAAGGTTGATGGTTTATGTGCAACAGGTTGAGGAAGAGAAGCTGAGGGATAGGGAAGAGTTTAGGAACAAGAAGGCTAATACAAGGAATGAGTCCGGGCAATGAAAGAGTAATGTGAACCGTTCTTCCTTTCAACAAAAGCAAAAGGGACCTGCTCCATCATCTTCTAGTGCACTTGCACCAAGAAACAAAGGTGAGTACAATAGTTAGAATTCACAGCACTTCAGAGCTAGACTTGCACAGTCTCAAGGTAGTATGGCACAAAGAGGTAACTGAGCTTTTGTATGTGCTAAGTGTGGTAGGAACCACCCGGGTAAGTGTCGTGATGGCTCCACTGGTTTTTTCAAGTGTGGTCAAGAGGGTCACTTCATGAAAGAGTGCCCTAAGAACCGACAAGGTAATGGGAATCAGGGAAATAGAGCCCAATCTTCATCAGTTACTCCACTAGACAGAGCTGCATCTAGAGGATCTACTTCAGGGGCAGGCAGAGGAGCAAACCGCTTATATGATATCACTAGCCTCCAAAAGCAAGAGGATTCACCAGATGTTGTCACTGGTATGATCAAAGTCTTTACTCTTGATGTTTATTCCTTGCCAGACCTAGGAGCCAGTTTATTTTTTGTGACTCTTTATATTGCAATGAATTTTGATATTCTTCCTGAGAAACTTTGTGATCCCTTTTGTGTTTCTACACCTGTTGGGAAATCTATTCTAGCTGAGAGAGTCTATCGTGATTGTACCATTTCCGTCAATCACAAAAGCACCATGGCTGATTTAGTTGAATTAGACATGGTAGATTTTGATGTCATTCTAGGTATGGACTGGCTTCATGCCTATTATGCCTCCATTGATTGTAGAACTCGAGTTATTAGGTTCCAAATTCCTAATAAGTCAGTTATAGAGTGGAGTAGTAGTTCAGCAGTGCCTAAGGGTCGTTTCATTTTGTACCTTAAAGCGAGAAAGTTAGTTTCCAAGGGGTGTGTCTATCACTTAGTCTGAGTTAATGACTCTAGTGTTGACATACCTCATATTGAGTCAATTCCAGTTGTGAGTGAGTTTCCAGAAGTCTTTCATGATGATATACTCGGAGTCCCTCCTGAGAGAGAGAGATATAATTCGATATAAACCTACTTCTAGATACTCGTCATATATGTATTCCGTCATATAGAATGGCTCCAGTAGAGTTGAAAAAGCTAAAAGAACAGTTGAAAGATCTCTTTGATAAGGGTTTTATTCGACAAGTGTCTCACCTTGGGGCGCTCCAGTCTTATTTGTGAGAAAGATATATAGTTCCCTTAGAATGTGTATAGACTACCGCCAGTTGAACAAGGTTACCATCAAGAATAAGTATCCTCTTTCAAGAATTGATGATCTTTTCGATCAGCTTCAGGGTGCCACGTGTTTCTCTAAGATAGACCTCAGATCAAGCTACCATCAGTTGAGGGTAAGGGAATGTGACATTCCATAGACAATATTCAGGACCCGTTATGATCATTATGAGTTCCTAGTTATGTCATTTGGGTTGACCAATGCACCTGCAACATTCATGGACCGTATGAATAGAGTATTCAAGCCTTATTTCGATATGTTTGTTATCGTGTCTATTGATGACATACTAATCTATTCGAGGAATGAGGAAGATCGTGCTAGCCATCTCAAAAGAGTTCTCCAAACTCTAAGGGATAGGGAGTTGTATGCTAAGTTCTCAAAATGTGAGTTTTGGCTTGAGTTTGTGGCATTTTTAGGCAACATTGTTTCTGGTGATGGAATTAGAGTTAATACCCAAAAAATAGAGGCAGTGCAAAATTGGCCTAGACCCACATCTCCGACTGATATTAGGCGTTTCTTGGGGTTGGATGGATATTATAGAAGGTTCGTAGAGGGGCTCCCATCTATTTCATCCCCTTTGACCACGTTGACTCAGAAAATAGTGAAGTTTCAATGGTCTGAAGCTTGTGAGAAAAGCTTTAAGGAATTGAAAAAGAGATTGACTACTGCCTAGTATTGACCTTACCAGAAGGTACTCAAGGTTTTGTCGTTTATTGTGATGCTTCAAAAGTTGGTTTGGGTTGTATGTTAATGCAGAATGACAAAGTTATAGCTTATGCCTCCAGACAACTGAAAGTTCACAAGAAGAATTACCCAACCCATGACTAAGAATTAGCTGTCGTAGTATTTGTTTTGAAAATATGGCGTCATTATATTTATGGTGTTCATGTGGATGTGTTCACAGATCACAAGAGTCTTTCATATATGTTTAGTCAGAAAGAGCTTAATCTGAGACAACAAATGTGGTTAGAGTTACTCAAGGATTATGGCATGAGTATTCTTTATCACCTATGTAAGGCTAATGCTTTTGATGATGCCTTGAGTAGATTTTCTATAGGAAGTACCGCCCATTTTGAGGAATATAAGAAAGTGTTAGCAAAGATGTGCATAGACTTGCAAAATTAAGAGTTTGACTACTGGATTCCACAGAAGGAGGAGTAGTGGTGATGAATGGGGATGAATCATCATTTGTGTCAGAAGTAAAAGAGAAGCAAGACCAAGATCCTATTTTGCTTGAATTAAAGGAAAATGTTCATAAGAAAATAGTATTGGCTTGTGAACAAGAGGGAGATGGCTATCAAGGTAGGTTGTGTGTACCAAGGGTGGATGAACTCCAAGAGAGGATCATGAAGGAAGCTCATAGCTCCAGATATTCTATCCATCCGGGTTCCACAAAGTGTATCACGATTTCAGAGAAGTTTATTGGTGGAGTAGTATGAAGAAGGGCATTGCAGAGTTTGTTGCTAAGTATCCAAATTGCCAACAAGTTAAAGTAGAACACCAAAGGCCCGATGGTATGGCTCAGAATATAGAACTTCCGGAATGGAAGTGGGAGATGATCAATATGGATTTCATCACAGGTTTACCAAGGTCTCGCAGGCAGCATGATTCTATTTGGGTGATTGTTGATAGAATGACGAAATCAGCCTACTTTTTGCCGGTACAGATTACCCATTTAGCAGAGGATTATGCTAAGTTGTATATTCAAGAGGTGGTCAGACTTCATGGGTTCCGATATTGATTATTTCAGACAGAGGAACACAATTTACTACATAGTTCTGGAAATCTTTTCAGAAAGGCTTGGGTTCAAAGGTGAACTTAAGTACTGTTTTTCATCCTCAGACAGATGGTCAAGCAGAGCGCACTTTCAGACTTTAGAAGATATGTTGAGGGCATATGTGATTGATTTCAAGGGAAATTGGGATGATCACCTACCTATCATTGAGTTCACTTACGACAATAGTTACCACTCTAACATCCAAATGACCCCTTATGAAGCTCTTTATGGGAGAAGATGCAGATATCTTATTGGATGGTTTGAAGTTGGTGAAGCAGGGTTTATAGGACCAGACTTAGTTCATCACACTATGGAGAAAGTGAAAGTCATTCAAAAGAGGTTGAAACCATCGTAGAGTCGTTAGAAATCCTACACTGATGTTAAGAGAGGGGAGTTAAAGTTTAAAGTAGATGATTGGGTATACTTGAAAGTTTCACCCATGAAGGGTATTATGATATTTGGTAAGAAATGGAAGCTTAGTCCCCGGTATATTGGCCCTTACAGAATATCCACAGGGTTGGTAATGTAGCTTATGAGTTAGAGCTACCCCAAGAGTTGGCAGCGGTTCATCCGATATTTCTTATTTCCATGTTGAAGAAGTGCAATGGAGATCCTTCACTTATCATACCTACTGAAGATATTATTATCAAGGATAGTGTCTTATGAGGAGATCCTTGTTCAGATTTTAGACTGTCAGGTTCGTAAGTTAAGGACCAAGGAAGTAGCATCAGTAAATGTTCTTTGGAGAAACTAGTTTGTTGAGGAAGCTACGTAGGAAGTTGAGGAGGATATGAAGATGAGATATCTACATATCTTTGAGCCCGAAGAAATTTCAGATCAAGGTACTAATTCTCTTTTTAGTACTCTTTAAATTGATATGCTTGATGTGTTAGATTTGCCTGTTGGGTGTTTAAGCTGAATGTTAGATATTACACCCTTAGCCTACTAAGAGTAACCTCATTCGAGGAAGAATGTTTCCAAGGAGGAGATATTGTAACACCTCGCTAATTTAAAGAACTAAAGAGAGCTAGAATTAGAAAGAGTCATTTTTGGAAAGAATGGAAAATCTGGACATCTGACAAAATTAAGTTAAGTTTAAGCCTTGGTCAACTTCAAACGACCATAACTCTTAGCTCAAGATCAGTTAGGTGTGCTACAAGATACAGTAGAAAATATATTTAAATTATCTTTCCAAGGCTACCGAGTTTGCTCGATTTTGAGTTCGTATGATGGAGATATGACTATTCAAAGTTGGACTGTCTAAATAAGGAAGGTCAAAACCGAATTTTGGTCTTTTCCATACCCAATTAAGTTGATTCATTTTTATCAATTAAAGTGGGGTCTAAACTGAATTGGTTCAGTTTAGACAATTGGAATTCTACTCTAGGGGTTTTTTGGAGAAAGAACTCAAGAGGAGAAAAGAGAAGAAAAACTCAAGATTCGTCAAGTTCTTGCGATTTTAGTCGTGGATTTCGCCAAGGATTAAATCCTACGAGGTATGTGAGATCACATAGCGTTGGGTTAGATCCCACATGCCAACCATGATTCAATTTCAGTGTAATTGTGTTTTTGAAAGAAAAGATTATGAGTTCTTGATAAAATTTGTTTAAGTTCTTGTGGGTTCTTGTTGTTGGAGTTGTTGAGGAATTTCTTGAGTTTGAGTCATGAAATTAGGTGTGAGTTTGAGTAGATTCCTTCATATATTTGTGATATACTCTAATCTAAGTGTTTGGGAAAAGAACTAATTGAATCTAGAAAGTTTAAAGTTGAAAAACGAGAAAGAAATTTCGTCAAAAACTTGGGGAGGGGGTTGGGGCGCCGTGCCTCTTAGAGCGCCCCAAATAGGCTCCTGAAGTTTGGGTTTTGGGGCGCCGCGCCAGCCAGAGCGCCCCAACCCAGTTCCTAACGTTTGCCCTCTGGCGCCTCGCCCCACTCAGAGTGCTAGAGACGCCAAGTCTTCTGTTTTTTCTCACTTCTTTCCGTTTGAGTTCCCTAGCAACATACCTAAGTTTCCTAGTTGATTTCTACACTCTAAGGTACGTCCTAACATCATGAAATCATCCATAAACATGAGATCATGAGCCTTGAATCCGTAATTCAATTCAAGGAAAGTTAAGAGTCAATTCAAGAGAAGTTCAGAGAGTTTTCCAAATGTCTTTTACAAATGTTTTAACTTTGTTTTATTGATTGAGTTTTGAGTTGAGTAAAGAGTAAGAGTAAAGTTCATTTCTTCAAGAGATTATACGGGAACTAAGTATTCCCAAGAGTTGAAATGTTTTCACATTTAAACAAGAAAGGAAACACCAATTTCCAAGAGAGCCTTTTTGATAGTTTTTGAGTAATTATCTCAAACCACAGAAAGAGTTTTTGTTATTAAAACATATGAGCTGAGTATATTTTGGGAGTAGTATTGAACACCAATATGGGGACTAGTTCATAATAACTCAAGTCTCTATAAACAATGTAGTCATCGTTGGTAAGAAAAAGTCATACTTTTTAGATGATTCCTTAGTGTTTTTTAGCATAGACTAGTGGATCCACTTAGTTGAGGCGTTCTATATCATGGCAAGGTATAAGACAGTTCTGGCAGCGTGGGTGAGATGTTGTATCATCACTTTAGCTCATAGTGATGGTTGTCGGTTAGAGAAACTCCCACTGTATTATATTACTTTATGTGTAAACTGAGTTGTTATTGTATTTTTAAAATACATTGAGTTGTCATCTATTGTTTTAAATGCTTTGTATAAACTGCACTTTTAATGTTGTTTTATTTTGCATTTGAGTTAAGTATTTATGAGTTGAGTAAAGCTAAGGTAAGTGTTCTTTTCAGATTTCTTTCAAGCTTATGTCATGTTAGTTTTCCCCTCGCATGCTCATACATTCAATGTACTGATGTCGTTTGGCCTGCATCTTTATATGATGCAGATACAGGTAACCAGGATCAGCATCCAGTGCCTCGTTGATCCAGTTGAGCATTCAAAGTTATTGGTGAACCTCCTTGCTTCCGAAGGATTCCTTTAATTGCTTTTAGCATTTAGTTCATTGGGATGTCGTGGGCCTTGTCCCGACATCTATCTCAATTATTAGAGGCTTCATAGATAGTCAGTCAGTTAGTTCATTTGTCACTACTTTATTATTGTCTTATGTTTTGAGATTTGAGTAGTCATATTGGCTAGTTTGAATGTTTCTTTAAAGACATTTTAAGTTTATTTCATAAGTTTCTTAATTGAGATTATTTATTGTGTTTAAGTCTTCCATTGAGTAAGTAAGTCAGGCCAAGGGGTTGCTTGGGGCCAGCAATGGTTCTCGAGTGTCAATCCTTCCTAGGGTGTAGGCTCTGGGCGTGAAACTAATATTTCACATAATATATAGTCATATAGAATAATGTTAAAGTCATTCAAGATATATATTGATAACCTTTTTGATGATTCCTATTTAAATAATTATAAAACAGATACATTTGAGTATTCAGATCTTTTATGATTTTGATGTCTATCATATTCATGGTCAATTGTTTAACTTTGTCGGTTATAGAATCGTTTTAAGTGAATTATTTTATATATTATATATTCTATGTGCTAACATCATTTGATATTGCATTGCTTTATAATGTAGATTTTAGGATTTGGACCCAACGCCAAACGAACGACTTCATTTTCCTCATCAACTTTTGCGAGTCATCCTTGCTCTTAGAGAACTTAATCATATTTGACTAAGTTTAGTAGTTAGTTAATTAGACAAAGGTAGATGTGGGCCTTGTGTTTGTTTTTTTTGTTAACAAGATATTGATATTCATTACTTAATATTTGTTCACACAAGATAGTGGCAGGGTTGGTAGCCCGCAATTGATGCCAAGGGGAGGGTTAAGCTAATAGTACTATTTATACATTTATCCAGAGTAATAGGGGCTTTAGTTAGTCTAACAAAACAAGTTCTTGTCATGTCTGCCTCTAGTTTTTTGTAGACAAACATCGATGGAACTTTCCAACAAAAAAAGGAATTAGGTTGCGTCAGATTGCTACTCTTCTTCGCTAGACATTTGCCACTTGATTTTCTTCTCTATAGGGGGTCCCCAACTTCTGAAGTAGCTCCCTGCAATGAGACAATATGTTTGAATAAGTTGGATGATCATATAAGAGGAGTGTAATAATATCTTTACAGTCTATGCTGATTTCTAGTGGCATTAGGTTATGGTTTGAAGGTTAACGGCAGACCCTACAGTAAGGTGTTAGTTCCGCTTTAATGGTGTTCGTGTTATAAACTTTTTACCAACATAGCAATAGAATTTTTACAAAATAGAACAAA